TGAAGGCGGGATGGCGGAATGGGATTCTAGGGTGAGAACAGCGACCAAGTCGTGAGGCTACCTGTCCATGCATTGGATTCAACATGATGGCATCTTTGGATTCAACTCATACAAGATCGACCAGGCTTTGGGCAGCCCAAGCGTGGTGGAATCGACGTTCTCTTGCCCCGCGCACGGTCAGGTTTCACAAGCCGAGAGCCACCATCTCTTGCACTGCGGAACAAGTCCAGCGTATGCAGCATAATGAACTGGATGCGTTTGCTTCTTTCGCTGCTTGGGTTTTTGCTACCTTTCGTGAACACTGGTGTTTCTGATGCATCAGGTCTGAATGTACGTGATTCATCAGGTCTGTAGTGCCCCCCCAACGGAACACCCGGACCTGTTGGTTACATTGGTTTTGAGATCCACGATGAAAGTGCTGCGTGTCCAGTTCTCTAGCTGCTCCCTGGGGCAACCAATGCACCGAATGACTGCGCTTGCACACAAAGACCTGCAGCTTGTAGTTCGTAGTCGTAGCGACAAGGTCAGGTTTCATCCTTTTTGCCACGCACTGGCGCGTGGATGCCCGGACGCACTCGGACGAGGTAGATGAAACCTGAAGCGTCGATTCAGGTTGACAAAGGTCGCCTGGTAGGAGAGAACGATCGCCTTGGATTTGTTCCGAAACAGACTCAACAGATCTATACAGATGATGGCAGTATACTAATCCAAGCAGAACAGACTTGGCTTAGCCGCCGAATGGATGATTTCACCTTGGCGCATCGAAGACCTCACCAACTCTGAAAGGCAGAGGTGGTGGGGCTAAGCAAGGATCATGATGATCATGAGACGTGTGGCTCAGTGTGCAAGCGAAATGCGTTTGACCCAATTGCAAGAAAAAGAGTACCGGGTCAATGTATTCTGTCAGGTTTCAGCTGAATCTGAACCGTTGCTTTTGGTGTAGCCAGGCAAAGGAGGATTCGTTACCATTTCATGCCCCTCTACTCTAATACCAAATCGGTCAAATCAAATCAATTTGTGTTTGCATTTTCGGTTTGGCTCACAGCTTGCCATCTCCAGCCACTGCCCCTTGCGGCCCCTTCTGCTGGGGTCTTCGGTTTGAAAGGAAGCACAGTCTTTTCATGATGATTTCCATTTCAGTGCGCCATGCGCATCATGGTGCCTTGTTGCTGACTTTGTATCATATCGTTCTTTTCGAGGCAAAGGTAACTCTTATTTCCTGCCTGGCACAATGCAGATGTACCCCAGTCCCATTATATACAGATATAATTTAGAAAAAAAAAGATGCTTTTGTGCCCCCACGAATGCAAGAGTGCCCTCTCAGCTTCAGAACAAAGCTATGTTGGAAACCTGTCACCATTTTTTTGCATGCTCTCTCTCTCTCCCTCTGTTTGGAACACATTGCGTGATTGACTTGAAATGGTCAAAGCCCGGTACGGATAGGATTAAATGGTGCAAGCGTCCGAGACCTGTTGTCAGCCCAGAGCATGTTTGCTCTCTGAGGTCCTGACACAATGACGATGTTCACTGCTGCCGTTTGCTTCACATCCTCTGTGATCACTATGGTTAGGGACTCAGGGGCATTGAGTCAACAAAGGCAGCAAAGTTATATAACTGGAGTTTCCGGCTCTTCAAGGGATTCAAGCACGGTTTATCGCTTACAGCGCCTTGATATTTCAACCTCAGCACCATTTGTGCCCTTGATTGACGAACTTGATGAGTGAAGAAAGGTTGTGGAGCTAGATACCTTGGCCTGCGCTCGTTGGTTTGTTGGCTGATTGTTTGGCTCAACAAAGCTGAGCCCGATCAGGCCCGCCACCCTGCTCTCCGATCCTCCCACTCGCGCTCGTGCGGAGACCTTTTCTATCCAAAGATGTTTGATTTTTTTCTCATGATTGGTGAGCGGTATTTTGTGATCTTAAGAGAATAGCCATAGCTCATAAAGGACTCTCTGGGTCTTTTTCCTTGACAGACCTCTTTCCCAGACGGCGCCCGTGCACCCAGGTCATCGTCATCATCACGGTCGTCGTCATCGTCATCGTCGGCTTCACTTTAAGGAGTCTGATGACAGGGTCGTCTGGTTGTTTCAGCGAGAGGTTCGTCTACGTCGAGGGATGTTGGACTTCAAAGGTTTGCGATTGGCTGGGAGACTTGCGATCATGGTGCTTCTTTTCGTGCTATCATCGTTTGCAGTGAGGATGTCGGAATCATAATAGGTTTCCAGATTCTAGTGGTTTGCTGATGTTAATCGATCTTCCCACCCTCGTTTTTGATCAAAGTTGGTTGTCCATGATTCTGTGAAAGAGGAGCGAAGCCGACCTCCTTTCTTCCGCAGGTGGGACGTGCAGGTAGTGTCAAGGAACGTGAGCGGGGAGTTGTGGTCCTCAAGATTTCTTCTTGCTGATTACCACTGTGTGACAAGGATACCATTTTAACATACTGTACTGTATTTTAACCAACGCTGTCTGGAAACAACTTTTTATCGATGACATTGCCAACACTGCCTTTCCTTGTCAGGTGATGCCCTTTGGTGCCTCGAGGCTTTGGCAGTGTTCCATGTTTCTTCCACTCATTTGGATGTCAAGACGGCAGGCCAAGATCATGGTGTCACGGGCATGAGCCCCAGTCAGTTGAGCAGATCAATCTAGATCAACTCTGAAGATTAAGATGGAATCAGCATCAATCCTGTTTTTCCCCACATAGCGTGAGCTATTGGGGTTCTTACATCAAGTAGAGGAAGAGCTGCGTGTGTGCGTTTTCGAGCCTGGGTGCTGGTGCCGCTGCAGGGTGCCGCTGTTGTTCCAGTGTAGAAGATCTGTGTGTGTGTGCGCGTTTGTGTGAAACCCTTGGAGTTATAGGGAATCCTTTGATTATGTAACTTGCTTTCGTGTTTTTCTTTTTAGCAGGGGGCTCAGGCCCATCGTGGAAGCCTGTGCCATTTCCACGATGCGGAGATTGATCACCTCCGTGTACCTGCTGAAGTGTGTGGCGTTTGGTAACTATGCTCTCCTCTAGAAGTCAGGCTGTTTAGGTAATGACAGGTCTGCAGAGAAGTGCTCGCCGTTCGCTTCTTCGTCGATTTCGTTGTTTGTTTTTTGAAGAATTTGGGTTTCGAGCTGCTGAACATGGTTGGGCTCCGCTCCATTTCCTTTCAGGTTTCAATTTACCTGGATTCTTAGGTTTCCACTTAGGTTGGCGTGTTTCAAACCGCAATCATGTCAGTACGCTTTATCTTGAGTGTGTGCGTGCTCGCGCTTAGGGGCTGGTGCCGCTGCAGTGCTGTTGCTGTGTGCGCTTGGAAGCTTGCTCGCAGGGTGCGGCTGCAGGATGCCGCTGCTGTGTGCGCTTGGGAGCTTGCGTGCTGGAGCCGATGCAGGGTACCGCTGTGTGCGTTTGGGTCCTTTTGTGAGCCGTTTGCACTTTGGAACTTCAGTGATGGTGCCGCTGGAGGGCGCTGCAGGGTGCCGCAGCAGTGTGCTGCACACAAAATATTATTTGCTATCTGGGGTCTATGCTGGCCTACGTTTTAATGCTTCTTTGTACCACCTGCGGCCACCTGCGGAGTCCGCTGACTTTTCAGACCAAATCAACTGAGCTGGGCTTCGTTGCCGCGTTCATTCTAGCCTTGCCGGATGATCCAGATTCATGCAAAGCCGTGTGTGTTTGTTTGTGTTTACGGCAGTTTACGCCTCTACGCCATGATGGCTACCGGGGTGCTCAGGCAATCACGAGGGTATGCGCACGCTCCACTCGCTCCAGAAAATGGGAGGCCTTGGAACGCAATAGACCGGTGCAGTGCTTGTAGCTGCAGCGTTGGTTGTGTTATATAAATCATTCTAAATCGATCTTCTACAACTTTGACCTGGCCTGGCGTGCTTGCTTCCCTGGTCCAAAAATTTGTTGCCCATTCGATGGAACCTGGTGGAACACTGATGCTGTGCAAGGGGACTAGTGAACACTAAATACCTCCGAACACCGTACGGTCAATCCTCGCCAGTTAATTGTATTTGGACATGGTGAGACGTCCATGCTGGGGCTTGAGGTCCGAGTGATGCAACAGCTATGGAGGCAGACGGGTACTTCGTATGGGTTTCTTGAACATGCGCAGTAGCAAGTAGAATTTCAACAGGGTTGAACCTCAGAGATCCACCTAAAATGCTGAGATCCTGCAACTCGCCAGCTGGGTTGCTTGGGAACCCAACGGAGTCGATGGAGTCTGAGTGTTCTTGGCTCAGTCGCAGACTCCCATCACAGGCTCCTACAGCGATTACCCGCGGAGCGTCGCAGAGAAAGTTTGGAGTCTGGAACCTCGGTGACTTCTTGGTCCCCACCAGCTTCACAGCTTGTGACGTTGACATTGAGCCACCAGCTCCGGGTTAAGGCGGCTCACCGTGCCTCAGCAGCAGGCCTTGGAATGCCACAGCCTTCAGGAAGGGGACACCTTTAAGGCTTTAAGGCTAACCTTGGATTTCTTGCCATTAATCCTTTGGAATTGTTTGTATGCGTTGTGTGCAAGCGTAGCAGCGTAGCATGCCATGCTGAGTCTTCATTCTTCAAGACTGACTGTCGATTCGTCGATTAGAAGCTTTTCTTTGGTTGTTTGAAACGATTGGCACTGCAACGTAGCCTTTAGGAACATGTTTGCTGTTGTGCCAGTAGGTACAAGTAGGCCTTGTTTTCAAGTGGGCTGAGAGGTCCTTGGTGTGCTTGCAGGGACCAGAAAGAAACAGGACGATTTTTTGGGAGGACACGTCTATCTCCTTCGCTCAGCCGTTGCCCCTTACAGTTTCGTGAAGAAGAATGTGTCAAGGGCTGATGGCAGAAGACCCACACGCTACATTTGCATGTGCATCATCCTCCTTGTCAGATTGCCTCCAAGTTTTTTCCACGCGAACGAACTCCCCGCAAAGTGAAGCAAATCCAAGCAGATCAAACCAGATCCCGTTCGCAGCACGAGTCATCACCGCTTTCTTTGACATTTGAAAAGTTCTACTGGAATCATGAGCCGCATGAGCTCTGACAAGATCTCTCGCCCATGGCGCAGGCTGCTGAAGCTCTTCACCATTGCGGCTCTTGGCGCTCTTCGCGGATGGGTGTTCGCAGCCCCTGGACCCAGATTCACATCTCACCTGACCCGCCATGCTGGCACTGGAGGTTTGGAGGATATCCAGAAGATGAGGGCTCGAGAGATCAAGAAAGAGTTGGAGGATGCAGGTGTCGATATCTCTGACATCTTTGACAAGGATGATCTGGTGGAGCGTCTTCACCAGCTCCGCAGCGGTGTCATCCATGGAACTTCCACCTCCACCTCCGCTGATTCCAGTGATCGCTGCGATCGCAGCGGGGTGGCTTCAGAGCACGACGGTGCGGGTGCCGATCCCACCGAGGGTGCGAGCTCGGAGGCGAGAAGTGCGCCAGGCCCTCAGAGTCACTCGAGCGACACCAGTGAGCCAAGCGACTTGATGGCAAAGTGCAAGGCCATGAGAGTGAAAGAGCTGAGAACTGAGCTTGGGCAGCGAGGCATCAGTTGGGCAGATGCCTTAGATAAGGATGAACTTGTTGAACGCCTTGCCGGAGTTCTACAGAAGGAAGCCTTATTTTGCAGTTCAGGCCGACTAAAGCCGGGCATGGTCACCAAGATTACTGGTGCAGAGTTGGAAGAAGAGCTCCGAGATTCAACCACTCCGTTGCTTTTGGATGTCTATGCCGTTTGGTGTGGACCCTGCAAGATGATGGAGCCTCAGCTGGCGAATGCTGCCAAGGCCTTGGGGAACCGCGTTCGTGTGGCGAAGATGGACTCGGATGAGGAGACCAATGCCTCCAGCAAGCTGAGAGTTGAAGGCCTTCCGACCCTCATCTTGTTTGATCGTAAAGGAAATGTGGCACAGCGAGTTGAGGGTGCCTTGATGGAGCAGCAAATTATCGATCTAGTTAATTCAGCCAATCTCTGAGCACCAAACTGTGCAGACCAGAGGTTGCAGAACGAAGAGGTCGGATCAACGACATGTTGTCTTTTCAATGGAATTCTTTATATATACATACCAAATCATAGCAGAGGGTCCAGCTAGAAAGGACCAATCTCATTGAGTCAATGGACCAGTGGGGGGCTTTTAAGAATGGACATGCTTTGGATGCTTTGAAGAAACATTTGTGTCTGCTGCATTAGTGTTGGCACGAACGCGCTTTCTTGAGGCTTGATCGAGAGAGCACGTTGTTTTCAGAGGTTGAAATTGTAAACATGAACAGGTCTTGAAGAAGTATGTTTTTTTCTTAGTGGGAAAAAAGCCACACAATTCACAATTATCTAAAACAAAGAAGGACAGGAAAAGAGAAAAAGAACAACAATAAAAGGAAAGAACGGCCACTGATGTGAATCCTTTCCATCGAGGCTGGGTCTTAGCCAATGCTGTGACGGCACAGAAGGTCTGCTCCCAGGCGTCGGCTTGACGCGAAGATTTGTGCAGATGGACAGATTGAATAAGGAAAGTTGGTAGAAGAAGAAAAGACATGAGCCAAGGAAGGTAAGGGTATATAAGCCCACCTTTAAAGAAGCCTAACCTTCCTTTTTCTTTTTTCTTCTGATGAAATTACATGTCTTCTCTTTTGCATGGCCAATCCTTGACCCTTAGTTACTATTTTTTGTTAAGACATGGCTGTAATAGGTGCCTCCAACATCCCGTGATGTTTCTTTTGTGGGCCACGTGTTTCTCCTATGTTTCTTGCCATACAGGCATCATATAGCTCCAAGCTCCGATCCAGTCGGCAGAAGAAGCCGATTGAGCCGGCTGCCTTGGAGGCGGAGAGAGCAGGCATTAATTCCCAGACCCAGAGTGGAAAAGAGGCCTAGTCTTGAGCACCACCAAAGCAACAAAGAAGAGGACTCCTCGTCAGATGGACGTTGCTTCTTTCTAATTCCTTACTTAGTGGGCTGGCTGCTACACTCCAATTTTGTTGGATACTCAATGTTTTGCCACCTCAAAAGGGATGGATCCCCTCATGACTTGGCATGAAGGCTGGAGCTTGGAGCCGCGGGGCGAGCCGGAACATTGTGCGCTACGTCCGGGGCCAGGTGTGAGGGTGCGGCGCAAACGAGATGAGTGGCTTCCTGTAGAAGATTGGAATCTAGCAGCTTGAACTTCCCATGGACGCAACCTGTATTCGGTGTGCGTTTCTTAGCCATGCAGCGGTGTGGCTGGAAAAGGATATTCAGGGGTTCAATGCTTCAAGATTGGTGTTGTCAAGAATCAGCTTCCATCAGCAGACATTCAACCGCGAAGACTCCCCTCTGGACACCTCAAAGACAAGACAAAACCTGACTGAAATACTTGTCAAACATGTTTCTGCTTCCGTTTTTACTTCCCTCGCCTGTAGCAGGGGAGATGCTACTACGCCGTGACCCAAGCAAGTAACTGCTGATCCTGCGAACGCAGATTGGCCCAAGCACAAGTGCATTATGTCAAGCCCTTTTGTGCTCAGGCCGCGCAACTGCAACTTGGCCATGGACTGCGTATGCTGTCCAAGACAGATCCGTCTTTGAAGGTTGGCTATTGGTTGCAGCAACAGAGCATCGAAATTCTTCAGGACAAATGTCATGTACACGCATACAGACTACAGAAACGCACCCGCCCAAACTCGTGGGTAGAGCTTGAGATATATACATATATGTATATATATATATATTGTGTGACAGTATAATCACATTATCACGAAAGCCAGCCGATAGGCAAGGCTTGAAGTAGGAGAGCGAACGAAGGGTGTGTGGGGGGTGGTCGCCAGAGAGGTGAACCCTGGTGGGGGAGAGTGAAAAAAGAGGTGGCCACTTGGTAGTGAACAATGAGTGATTTTAGGGGTCTTGTGATGCCGGTGATGTAATTGCCGGCCATCAGCATCACGCGGGGCTCAGGAGGCAATGTAAACCGCTTTCTACCAGGGGTGGAGTTCATGTCAATGATAGGCAAGAGGGGGCAACGGGACGCGAAAATTGGTTGGAACTCGTCCAGAAAAGGGAGATGCGCGCCTCTCAGGGCCAGTGAAAGGGAGGTGTGTGTGCTATGGGGAAGGTGGAAGACAGGCATAGCGTAGGAGGATAGGAAAAGAGTGTTTGCAAGAAATGTTAGAGTTGCTTGGAGGCGCCCTTTTTTAATGGTGAAGACGCCTGTCAACTATACGCAAAAGGGCACCCCATATGGGGCGCGAGTTCATGTAACGCTGTGGTCCGTTGAGGGCAGGAAAGAGAACAAAATACAGCCGGCAAGCTTTGAGTTGCTTGGGGGTGCCCTTTTTAAAAGGTGAGGAGGTCTAGTTGCCGACTCAAAAGGGCACCCCATGTGGGGTGGGAGCTCATGTGGACGAGACAGGCATAGTGGAGGAGGACGTGATAGGAAAAGAGGATAAAAAGAGGGATTGCAAGAAACGATGTGACCCATTCATTGAGAACAGGGAGGGAACAGAATGCGGCGGGCAAGCTTTGAGTTGCTTGCGGGTGCCCTTTTTTTATGGTGAAGAGGCCTGTTGACCAGACGCAAAAGGGCACCCCATATGGAGTGGGAATTCATGTGCAAAATGGGCATAGGAGGTGATAGGAAAAGAGGCGGGGAGCTTAGCAGGGTTCTCGCATTCACCCCCACATGACCATATTGATATCTTTTACTGTGGCTGGCTTTCGTCCCCTCCCTTCTCAGGTACTTATACTGTAATATGCACACACCAACTCTTTCAGGATGCCTGACAACTTAGAGGGATGTTCACAATTCTTTGATCAAGACTTGCCAAATTCATTGCAAGAAGTTGCGCGATGACACATGTTCATTGCCCACCCATCCATCCACCACTCGCTGCGCTGCGCAGGTGGTGCACGGCTACGAAGCCTCGCTCCGGAGCATCCAAGAACGGTGTCGTGGCAGCTCCATGGAGCGCATCGAAGAGGATTGGGGATGCGGATTGGGCCATTGTTTCATTGGTCGTTGCAAATGGAATCGGACACTAAGGGGATGGGAACCAAACATTTTGATATAGTGTAAGTTTAAGTGATTCCTTTTCGGGGCGATTGGAAATGGTAATATTATTCTATTCAGTAAAGTTTGGGGACTATGCAGAGCTAGCAGTTGGCCAACTAGGTCTTACTGGCAAATGCAGGTAAATGCAATTCAATTCGGCAATGAAGTACAATAAGAACTACCCCGAACCAAGTCTGCAGGGCACCCATCTACACACCCAAAGCTCGACCCCATCGAGTGAGTGAATTCTCATAATAGCGATGGCCTCCAACCTAAGAGCGATGGCCTCCAACCTCTAAGAGCGATGGCCTCCAACCTAAGAGCGATGGCCTCCAACCTCTAAGAGCGATGGCCTCCAACCTCTAAGAGCGATGGCCTCAAACCTCTAAGAGCGATGGCCTCAA